ATGAAGTAATACACTAATGATTATTTCCAAAATGATGGTAAGATGAACATCTTTCAAAAAAGAAAGAAAAATCCTAAAATCTTATGAGGAAAAAAAAAATTTTTTTTAAATGGCGGGAAAATTTATCGAATTTCGTTCCGGTTTTTCGGTTTTCCGGTTTTCTGATTTCCGGATAACGGGTTCTGTACTGTAATTAAAAAAATTTTACCATAAATTAAAAGTTAAAATTTCAATTACAGTGAAACCTCCTGTTATGGACACTCCTGCAAAACAGACACCTCACAATATGGACATATTTTAATTCCCCGGTAATCTCCTATGAATAAACCATTATGTACCTTCTCTGCAAAGCTGACAACCGGATGTGGACAGTAATTTTCGCCCTGAAACGTAATTTTCCATCTCTTTAAACCAGACACTACTTTTTCTACATTTGAAAAAAAAAAAATATTTCTGCTTTAAACTGCAAGGAAAAAATTACAACTTAGCCATTTTTAAAACATGCTTATTTTTTGCCTTATCCAGAAATAAAAATATTGTTAAGCTATTACACTACTAAAGAATCAATCTTTCTCCTGTCACCTTGCCTTATCTTTGTAAAGAAAGAAGGGAAAATGATACTGCTCTCCTGAAATAATTCGGACAGCAGCATCTTTTGATCTTTTCATCTGGACCACACAGGTTATAAAACCCCTTAGTTAAAACAACATCTTAAAAGCTCTCAATGCTTCTTCACCATTGAAAATTTCTTTAATTTTCTTATCAATTTGAAGACTGTATTCAACACAGCTTTAGTAAAAATAGAACAGAAATATTAATCTTTGATGTGTTCATATAAATTAAACACTTATTCAGACACTTGATAGCTGATCATAGGTCCTCATAACTTAGCTGTGAATAGTGGGAGGTTTACTTTCAAGAAGGTATTAATCATGTCCCCCATCCAATGATAGGTAGGTGTAATGGGATGTTACACTTTACATTTACCTATAAATTGAAACCGACTGACAACTGAAATCTCCTATTCGATATCATATGTCTGACTTGAATATCTGTGCCAATAGGAAAATTATATTAATTTATCTGCAGCTACATCTAGAATTATGTATTTATATGAAACTTCTTTATATATTCTTTTTTCTCCTTCTTAAAGCTTAAAGAAATATCCTTGTAGATAGTTATTGTAAATTAAATTATTTCTACATCTTTGAAAATATTCTAAAAACAGTTAACAGTGTTAAACTTCGTTATTAGGGTACCCTTCCCGTAAGCGGACAACTCTCCTAAACGGACAATTTTTTTGGTCCCTAGAATGTCCGCTTAATGAAGGTTTTACTGTATTTACATTATTAAAAAACTCATTATCAAAAGTTTTATCAAAATTCATTCTCCAACATTATCAGGCTATTTTTTTCTCTGATCAAAACACCAACAGATTAGATGCACAGTGAATAAACCTCTGCTACAGCAATGGTAATACTCTTGTTACAATTATAAAAGAAACAGGATTTTTAGTCCTAAACAGAATAAAAACAAATAAAAGAAATTTACTTTAACTAGTTGGACACATTAATTTGAATATCAAAGACAGGACATAAATATAAAGAACAAAATAGAAATGTTTATTATGCCAAATTTCACAATACTGCAAAATTGTAATAGAAATAAAAACTATTGAAATTAAAGTGAAAACCAAATAAACATCACTCATGAAACTAGTTTATTCAAAATACTGAGGATACAGAAGTATTATTTAAAATGAAGGTGTGAACATTTTTGAGTACCATGTCGATTCACAACATTCAAGTTGATTTCAAAATTACTAAAAATGTTCTTAAATCATTTTTGCTGGAGTTAAATTCCAGATCTCCTTTGGTTTCGTTGAAAATATTTTAAATAATTTCTAATCACAGTATTAAAGAGGTTATTGATGCTCATCATATATGTTCTATCATCAGGTTCTAAAATAACAAAACAAAAGAATTTTTCATTATTTTACATATTATGTAAAGAAAAGAATTTATAAAAGCTGGTATAAGTATTTAAATCTATTTAATAGCCTGAGAATAGGAAAGCATTGTTTTTATTGATTTACATTTTTATCAGTACAAGCATTGAGAAATATTTACAAATATTACATTAGTTACAACAGATACAACAACCATTATTGCAAATAATAATTTCTCATCATTTAACTTTTTCTCTGAGTAATAAATCTCAAGATTAATATCTATAGGAAAATTTAGAGTTCAGATATTTGTTTCCATTGCTAAACATTTGTGTTAGTGAAATGTGGTTTATTTTAAATATATGTTTTAACAAGTTACCACCTTAAATAAAATTAATTTAAATTCCTATTTGGAAAAGACACAACAATCTTGAAAGAAATTATTTTGATTTTAAATTGATGAACTTGCAAATAACATGAGTCTTAAAATGCAGATTTGCTTCATTCTCAGCTTTCTCAGTTTCGATCAATTTGCAAAATCTAAAATTTCTTTTTCAGAAGAAAATATTTTAAGATTAGATATTGAAAGATTTACAATTCATAGATTTGTTTCCCAGAGTGTTTTTGAAATTTAAATTCAAATCTGTTGGATAAATGATTTCATCATTACTTTCAGTAGCAAGATTCAAAGTTAAAACATTTGCTTCAGTTTCTAAATTTGAGAGTCAATGAGAAATTGTAAATGTGATTCATTAGTAATCCAGTAAGAAATTAGGCTATGATAGGGCAGAAGTTTTTTAAAAAAATTGTTGCGAACTTATTTGATATCAGGCATATTAAAAATTTAATGTTGATATTCGGAGCTGTTGATTAAATTTAAAATTACATTTCACCGAGCAGTTTTGAAATCCTTTGTAAAGTATTGTTAACTTTGAAACTAATAATATATAATTTTTACTGTTTTTGAAACGGTGGATCATCAAAAGTTAGTTTATTGATGAAAATGAGAAACGATTTGTTTACAGAATAATGGTAGAGAGCATGTCGAAGTGACAAGAATGATTTAGACCAAAGACAATAAACAGAATTGCAATGGATGTGCTTCATTATGTTATTTACGTTATTAAATAGTATATTCTTATAAAAATGACATTTTAAAAGTTCAATGAACCTTGAAATAAATGTAGATACATTTTAATTTTAAAAGTGTTAACCAAAATGCGAAAATTATTAATTTCAATATGTATTTAATTTTCAAGTAGAACAAAACTTTGAAATCTGAAAATTAAACAAATCAGAGTCTTATGTTCCTTTTTGCAAGTATTTCTCTTTCAGAAATATAAACAGAATCACAGTAATTAAACACATGCTTTTGCATTTCTGGTTCAGAGAATCAGTTGATTCTGAAATTTTTTTAACCCTACATAATTTTATTTAGGAATTTGCCAGCTACCAATCAAGTAAAATAATTGCATGATTTTCAAAAAGTGATGAAAATTATAAATCCCTGCAACTAGGTATTTATATAAACACCATAAAGCTATGATATAGAGTTATATTTCTTTCTAGAAGTTAAAAAAATATTAAAAAAATAATTGTATTTATTAATAACATAATTTACAAGAGTGCATTTTATAAACAAATAAGATACTTAATACAAAAATGAATGTACATGACAGACATTACAAGCTACAAATATATTTACAGCTATTTATATGATGAATGTTAAAAAAATTTACAAATTACAAATAGACATGCGATAACAGTTCCAGAAAAAAAGATAAACTTGTGTGGTAACAAATCTTTTGAAACCGGTTTTAAAAATTCAATTTAAACTATAATAAAAACTACAATTTAAAGGAATTATTATATTAATTAATATAGTTTTCATAAACTTTTTGGTTCCAATAGTTTGATCAAGAGAGCAGTCCAAAATTTCAACCCCTTAATATTAATTTTATTTTTGTGTATTTTACCATATCTCACAAAATTTGGGAGCGAATAGAAAAAATTTACACACAATTACAAAATAGATAATTCCATGGCTAAAGATAATTCCATGGAAAAAAATACCCTTTAGTATATATATATTATTTTATTTGATAAAAATCAAAAAATTTTAAATAGTAAGGTATACAATTTCTAACATTAATTTATAGAATGTAATTTTCAATGCTTAAAATTTGATTTCTAAAAAACTATCCAGTGTTTTTCACTCAAATTTTGTATTTTGCCATGGAAAATTATATTCCTTAAAATAGTGTAAAAATAGTCTTTAAAATAGTGTATTTATTACGATATTACGACTCGTAAAATAAAATCGTGGATTTATAATTTTTGACGTGCTTTATTTGTGCCGATTTTATCATAACGATCAAAAGAGTAATATTTTTTTTGCTTGACATGTAATTTCATATATATTTTACTTAATGTGTTCCATTCTGTTTCAATTTTTTTGAGTGCTCCTCACACTATTGTATTGATATATTTTGCTTAGGCTATATTTATACAATATTTGAAAGCACTCCTCGTGTGAGCTGATGAAGAGATCATATCTTTTCATTATTTTATTTTCCGGCTTTTTATTATTTTTTAAAATATTTTTAAATAAAAAGGTGCCAAGAATTCTCTGGTTGATTTTATAATAGTCCCTGCCTCTGAAATTTCCTTATTTTTTTTAACTGGAAACGCAAGCACATGAATGACATAAGTACATTATAGTCTTTAATAAGTTTAAGAAGCATATGAAATTTAAGTAATCACCTCAAACACAACTTCATAGACACACAATTTCATTAGAGTCCTGGTAGTCCTTCAATAGAGTCCTAGTGAAGAAAAAAAATAGTTTAGTATTCAAAGAATAACGGATATGTTAATGAAATAGTGTGTTCATATAGCCATGATGCACTTCTAACCTGTCAACAATAAAAGTTGCACCACAACTTCACCGACATAGTGTACAGCATCTGATTCGCATTCAAAAAAGAGGAGCTAAATTTTGATGGAATTTATGCAATGCTTCTCACTACCAAAACTATGCCATTCAGCCCACGTATTTAAATGCTACAATACTTAAAAAAAAGTTTAGTAGCAGATTTCTACTATCTCTTTTACAAGCCACGAAGGGTAGAGAAACCTTTGCATGAGATTTGAAAAAATTATTGTTAAGGATACGAGTTAATGAATATTGGGCATAATGGTGCCTAAAATATTGTAGTTGACACCCAATATTTTAGTAAAATGTAAATTAAAAGCTAACTGTTATGCTACTTTTCTGGAAGTGGCCCCCGACTCCTAGAAACTTCCTACTTTTGTAATCATTGTTAATTGAGTGGCTGGGTCAAACTTTTTTCATTTAAATATACTACACTTAAATTTAAAATTTCCTTTATTTATTAAATCTTATGAATTTGAGTTTTTGATAGTTCAGGGTAGGCCCCATTCACCCCAAATTACTAAGACTCTACTGTAGTTTCATTATCATCATTATTATACACATAACAAATGTAAGCAAGTAAAAATAAAACAACAAACAGATTTTCAATTTTCAACACAATGCATAATGTTATTGAAAAAAGGTTATTATTTTTTACTTTGACTAGAACTTACATACATGAATGCTATGAGACTTCTAATTAGAAAAAGGCACATTTTCCTGATTTCTGATCAGTAAAAAGGAACACTTTCACTAATTCTCCTTGATAAATAATTTACAAGTTTTATTTTTTTATTACCATTACCTCAGTGTAGAAGAGAACAGTCTGTAATAAATGATTTTTTTTTTTTTGCAAGCAAAAAGTAAGATAGATTGCTTTGTTAGAGTTTTTTATACCTCATCTTCATATGCTAATTTGTCATTATAATAACTATAACTTGTTCATAATCATTACTATTTTTTTCTTGATGATCATTCAAAATTATTTAAATGATTTAAGTTGCTTTGTTCAGCCTGTTTGGGGACACCCTAGACAAGGTTTAGCAAGGCGTTAAATATATATATATATACATATATTTGGCACACACACATTGCTACAAGTTCTCTCGATAATCCATAGGGATGAAAATCTATCCTTAGCTCTCATTATAGAATAATCTCCCCAAACTAGTGTATTATCAACTGAGATAACTACAAACAAAAAGGAAGCGAGCGAAATTCAGCTATTACGTCAACTAAAAACTGTAACTTGAATATTCTATTTTTTTGGTTTGGTCTTAATTATTTCGGATAACCAAATTACTATGATCAAGCCACGGATACATAAACAAATAAAGAAGGTCAATTTTAAATTGATACTACAAGTATTCAAAGCAGGCTTTTATTCCAGCTACAAAATGACCATTATGTTATGTTGAATAAATTTCCAAAAGGATATTTTGAATATTATGATCACTCAATTTTTATATAGTAGGATAGAATAGCAGGATCTTCAACATCCAGAACACTAAATAAACATTATTTAATCTATAAGTAGACAACAGAAATCTCACAATTTTTGATAAATTTTCATTCGACTAGTGCTCATCCCTATATATAATTGCAATAGATTCTGTTTTCATATATAATAATTTTTTTTAATAAATGAGTATGTTAATTTGCTTGATATAAAAATATTAGTTAACCAGAAGTCTAAGAGTCTGCCAACATAAGGCAACACCATTTATTTTGTCCTTTTAAACCTTCAAATTTTTGAAAGAATATAGTTTCAAATAAAATAAGAATTTACAACTAATGCATTAAATATTGTTAAATATCAGCTTTCTATTATAAAAATAAAAATTGAGTCACTATTTTTATAAAATATTTTAAATTGTCAGCAAAAAAAATGTCTTTAGACACAAAACAACCTTTCTTGAAAGTATTTTTTAAAAAGAGGATTGGTAATCCCTAAATTTTAAACTGAATACTATTTTGTTCTAAAAGAAATATTTAAAACAAAACTAGTTTAGACATATATTAAAATACAGTAACTTTTACTAGAGTAATCTTTGAAATAATTATGATCTTTGTACGTGATAAATCCCACCTGTGAGTTGGTTCAACTTTTTGTAAGACACTCTTCTTTAAACATTAGGCAAAAACCAACAAATACATATCTAACTGCTTTTGCGTTTTTATCATCAATGATCCATTCTAATGGCACAACTGCCACTTTTAAATTCAATTTTTGAATTTGACAACACAGAATTCCAAGAATGACCTAAGAGCAACAAAAAAAAATTTAAGACACTTGAAATTTAACTACACACTTACTTATAATCAAAACAGAAAATACTGAAATTTCACACAGATAATTGCATGGCCATAGAGTGGATATTTAGTAAAGGTCAATAAACTATTAAGAATTTACATGAAAATCCTTTAAATTTATATCATTAAAAAGCTTTGCAAATTTGTGCAGGTGAAGAGAAAAACCAGCTTGGCACACTAACGGTGTTAGATCTGCACATTTTTTATTTAACTTTTCTTCGTATTTCTGCATCTTTTATTTGCATAGTCTATATTTTTATGTCTCTTTTTTGTTATCCATTAAAGATACAATAAAAATATTTATACATTTGGGAATTACAGAAAATTTTATCTAGATTTGATATCTCACTCATATATATATTCAATAATTATATCAACCAATTCCAATATTTCAACTTCTTTTTTCTTTCACAAATATCTCGTGGTAGACAAAAAATTAATAATGACTTTTATTATTGTTCCGCTTGAGAATTAAAAGCTATTTCTTTCTTATTTCCATTTTAGTACTTTTTAGAACTAAGAACTACTGAATCATAATATTTCATTTCTATTATTTTTACAATGAATATTAGGCTATAAACTTACTTATAAATGTAATCTTCTTTTTTCTGGAAAACTTATAAAAAGTGCAGCTTCAAATGAATCGGAATGTACGAAAGTAGTGAATATTAGTCTCTATTGATTGAATAAAAGTGTTTCATTCTTTTGAAGTATATTCAAGATAAATTGTTTTAGTTTTAAAATGTCATTAAATTTAGCAATAAAAAGAATTATTTTTCAAAACCAATAGAAAATGTTGTAAACAAGCTGTCATAGTCTTGATAGTACTTAATGGTTAACTTATCGACAGGTATAATGTAGTGAAAGATCTCTGCATTACACCCATTTTATTTCTGAAAATAAATAAGCTAGTATATGAATCAGAAAGGCAAAACACACAAGTGCTAAGGGGCAAAACTGGGAAATTTATGTGGAGCCACTATCCCCCTCCCTTTTTTCCACAAAATTAAAAGACAAATATTGCTAACAAAAAATTTAACATCGAAAAATAAACTTTACTGTTTGTAAAGATAATTATTATTATAAATAAATAATAGCATTTGTCCATAATGCTTTAATAAGAAAAATGATTCTAATAAGAATAGATAAAAATAAAGATTTAACAAAGAGAATCGAGAAATACTCCAGAAAGGAGACAAATATGCAAAATTGAATAATTATTCTATAAGTACAAACTTATTATTTGATAAATGCTTATCGATGACATCATGCAGTATTTTGTTGATCAAAATTACCTTGACATGTAACATGGAAAAATAATTATTAAAAATGAAAAGAAAACCAATTTTCAAGCAAAAGTTTTAGATATAAAAACAGCTATAAAAAAAGAGCAACTCCAGAATTGTTTTTCGTAGTCTCATTTTTAAACTTTTGTTTTAGAATGAAATATGATAAAGGGTAGCCTTTAGAAGTAGCAACCTTTTAATCAGAAATTATAGTTTCTGCTTATAATTCATATATCTGAATTTCTTCTTGGTAAAAAAAAATAATAAATAAATAAAATAAAGTAAACAAAAAACTTTTTTTCATTTGATTTGTAGTTACTATTATTCAGAACTCTTTTTTTTAATCATTGATGACACGTTATATACATACAGAATCAATATTAAATTGCCCTCCTTAGGAATAACTATTTCTTATCATCCTCACTTCCAACTCTACTTCTTTACTTATTCAAAATAAGTAAGTGTGACAAAGGTTAAACACATATTTTCCCTTTTCCCCCAATTCCATTTGATCTTCTAGTTAACTTAAAATATGAAAATTAAATCCAAGTAAAGCTATCTTTTACAATAATATTTAAGTAGTTAGAGAATATAATGCGAGTATGACCCACAAGTAATTGTTTTAAATTAAAAAGGTGTTTTAAACTATTTATTAAGGAAGAATAATTTAAGTAATTTTAATTCTTATAGAAAACTCACTTATAGAAAACTGAAACATTTTTTAATATTATTATTCAGCTTACTTAATTTGAAATTTTCACTAAATTCCTAACCTTCAACAAACAACTTCTTACAAAAGATAGCATACCTAGTTGACATTGGCTTTGTCTATGGGGGTTATAATAGCCAGATTAAGTAGTTTCAGAAAAATTAGTTGCATTGTTAGAGTCATATATAATTTCTTTATTGTTAAGAATAAAATTTGTAAGCTAATGATAAAGTAACCACTTCCATTCTGTAAAGAGATCTAAAGGTAAAGACCATCTTTTTAAACCTTTTAGACAAAAGTTACAGAAATTTTTTATGAATTAGAATTTTACTGATAGGAATATAATATTGGTCTAAATTTCATGCTTTTTAAAATTAAGTTTCTTAGTTTTAAAATTTTCTTTAATAATTAAGTTACCAGATGTTTAGGATCCTTACCTCTGTATTCAACATAAGTATCTTCTTTACAGTGACAATCATTATCAAAAATTTTCATAATTTGTAAAGTTTTGCTGACAGTGTTATAAATAAAAATATTTCTACCTAAAGATTCATAATATTTATAGCTTGTAATATGATATTCTTTTATTGGAAACAAATTCATTAAATGTTCATATGCATGTAGTTTAAACTTGCTGAAAATAGGGTTTTAAAAACAAATTACAAAATATAAGCTATCTAGTTTTTCTCTTTATAAGGTGAAATTTAGCAAATTATAATATGTAAATTAAAAAATGAAAAATATTTTAATATATATTAAAACCTATCAAAATTATAATACTGTATTGTTTATTGATATGTTCTTCGTTATTCAAAATAAAATTAATCTTTTCAAATTGTTACATTTAGAAGAGTTTCTTACACCTCTTTTTAGTCTCATTTGAATGAAAAATTTAAAAAGTTAAAGAATTGTCAAAGTTAATCTGCATTTGACCAAAAATATTCTTTAGCTCATATTGCAAAATTATTTTATAAAAATATAATTCTTGTTTAATAGTCTTAAAACATAACTATCAACTATGTCTAAAGTATTAATTTTAACAGTATTAAAATTGCATACCCTGAAATTATTGACTTCAAAATTATTTACCTTTTTATTAAAATGTATATCTGGGGTGTTGATAAATTCTAATATTAAGAGAGTTACTTATTTGTCCAACATACCTCATGTTGCAAAAACCACTGGTTAACACAGACATAACATAATTAATTTACAAATTGATTTAAAACTATTACAATTTTGATTTGCACGATATTTATCAATATTTAGCATCTTTTTTTTTAGCATTATTTAGCATCTTTAATATCATCAATATCATGCATCTTTTCTCACTGCACCTTTTATAAAAAAAAATTTATGGTTTTAAATTAAATTAAAAAAACCTTTTATCAAAATTTTGTTCCTGGTAGCCTAGTAGCAAGCTGTTGACCTGATAGGATCCTGCATTAGGCTCTACTTACCTGGTACTATGAGTAGAATTCTTAATGAAATTTTTACCACATGCAAAGTTATTATTTCTTATTAAATCCATGGTAAAAATAAGAAGCTCAAAGAGTAACTCACAACTGCAATACTACACAAACAGCTTGAAGAAACTAGAAATTAGTACATTAATATCAGAATCAGAAATAAAAGTAGAGGAAAAATTTTATAGTAGAAATTTATTGGAAAAAAAAACTGGCAGGTAAAACAGTAGATTTTATTTGGTGCTAAAGCTGCTCCATTTACAGCTTCTTTTTTTTTTCACACCATCCTATTAGTATATTGTGTTTTGGGGATATTGATACAATATTAGAAAGCACCTGTTGCTAACCATGTAGGTTAAGAACAAAGTTTATATATTTTAGTGGTTCCGTAATTTTGAATTTAATTAATAAAAATTTTTTTTTAATTATTTCAGAATTTTTATTAGGTTTTGGAGTTATTTACATGTTTTTTATTTGTAATATTCTCATATTAGGGGCTCAATATACTTTGCAGCTTCATGCACAGATTATAAAATATTTTTTTAAACATTTTCAAATTTTCATCCTGATATATAATATATAACTTGCAATCACATTTACGTTTAATGTACATACTTTGTGGCCATTGTTTGATCAAAGCAAATTCGATAATCCCAGCATAATATATAAATATTTATTTAAAACCTTTGAAAATGCCATCCATATTAAAACAGCCTATAACATTGAATTACACATAAATGTTCTCTGCACATATTTAGAATAACATCAACAACTCATTTGCTTTAAAAAAAATGTGAATCCATGTAAAAATATATTTAAAAAGTTAACTGGAAGCTTCAAATCAAAATGCGCCATTTTTTTTAAAATCATGAACCGCCAGACACATAGAAATACATGATAAATTAAAAGACATCTTGTGGATTCAAGAAAGATCCACAGAAGTAACTATTTATTAATTAGTTTTTGCAGATTTCACGAAATAGATTTTCCATTTGTCAATTAATTTTTTAGTTTGTGTCACAAATTGTTTTCAAAACATATTGAATTTGTGTGATATGTAGCCACACTTGTAACACCAATTATAAAGTATCGATTCAGAGAATCTAATTAAAAATGAAAGTCAAATTTGAATATAAATAAAATTTATTTAAAAATAAAATACTGTGCTGAAACTAAAAAGCATAACTGCCTATTTAACCAATATAAGCATGTAGGTATGATTTAAGAACCATGTTGTTTCACTTGTAACAAACTCATTTGTCAGATTAATTATCGATTCATTTTTAAAAATATTTTTAACTGATTTGGAATTTGTTAATATGCTTTACATTTAATTTACTTCATAAAATGATTACTATTTTCTCATTATTTTGAAAGGTACTTTGTATTATAATCTATAAAAAAAAAATCAATCTTGTGAATGATTGAAAAAAATTGTTCCTTAGGGATTCAAATAAGGTATCCAGAGTAATATTGATCCCCTGGAGTGGTTAATTGGTTTTCTACTGTACTATACTCTTACTATTTAGGCACTGTATTACACTCAAAAGACTTGAGAAATATTTCCTGGTCTATGACTAAGACTAAAATCAGCAGGGTTCGCCAAGTGGGCCCACTTCGAAAAAACCCACCTGGGTTTTATTGGGTGGGCCCACCTTGAAAAAACCCACTTGGAATGATAATTAGGTTTTTTTTAAAAATAATTTTATTAAAACNGGTCTATGACTAAGACTAAAATTAGCAGGGTTCGCCAAGTGGGCCCACTTTGAAAAAACCCGCCCGGGTTTTATTGGGTGGGCCCACCTTGAAAAAACCCACTTGGAACGATAATTGGGGTTTTTAAAAAAAATTTTATTTTTTTTTTTTACTAAAACTTATTGTTTCGCATTTACTTTTATATAATTTATTGTGCAGCATAAATTTGTCAAATAGAGTTACATGATTTATATGATTAAGTTTTCAATATTAGTAAAGTAAAAGAAACTCGAATCTTCATATAATTTAATAGTAGGTACTATTGAAAACTTCAAGTGGGTTTTTTCAAAAAGTAATATTTTAATAATATTACCTTATTTTTCGGCGAAAGCGCCGCTTCGTCGCAAGCGCCGCACATCGATAAAATTGAAATTTTTTAAAAAAAAGTTATAGTAAGCGCCGCTCCGAAGCAAGCGCCGCTCTGAAGCAAGCGCCGCAATGGCACTAAACCGGGCATATCAGCATCCTTTTAGAAGAGACCTTTAAATTACCATTTAGAATATCTGTATAATAAAAAATTAAATTTTTGTATGCATTTCATAAAGTAAAGTTTTAATTTCTAAATTATAATAAAAAATTTCTTTTTCAGCAAAAAAAAGAAAAGAACAAAACGATATAAAATAAAGTTGTTCTTACCAGTTGGCACCGCGCCAAAAAACAGAACAACAACAAAAAAAATTTTTTATATCTGCAGTAGCTACGCTGAACTGATTACAGAAATCAGTAAAACAATGCAATAAGAAAAGTAAAATAAAAATTTATTATAAGAAAGATTTTAAAATAAAAAGATTTTAAAATTTATTAACGTTAAAAATTTGAGGAAAAACTAATACATAATAATGAAACAGCTAATAATAACGAAATAACTAACAATAACAAGAATAATAAATAACTAAACAAGCCCCAAAAAAATTCTGAAGGAATGGGAGAAGAGGAAATAAGTTTCACTTTCACAATCTTAGGGGGTGGAATTTTAGTGGGTAGAATGCCCTCTCCTTCAATGGAAATAACCCAATGTGACTCAACTAGAAAGAGAAGAAAATGTTTAAAAGAGGGGTGTACCCCACCTCCTCCACGTGTCATTTCTACTGGAGCTGATTAGGAGAAATCAATCAGTTATATTTTAAAGGGGTTGGGGAAAAGAAAAGGGTATGGGACCCCTAATCCAGCATTCCAAAATTCAGCACTTAATCTGATCTAATTTTTTTTTTCTTTTTTTTT